GTTGTTGCATGATTTCACGTTGTTGCCAATTTATGGCAATCCTATGAATGAGAAACATCCCAAAAAAGTCCTATTGTTAAAAGCCATCCTCACCTCTTGCAGTCTCAAGGCCATGGCTTCCTTTTTTGAGTCAATCATCTCACATCTGTCTTCTTTACCTACTGCCTTCACCCTTTCCCAGCATTATTGACTGTTCTAGTGAGTCTTGTCTTCTTGTTATGTGCCCAAAGTATAGTAGCGTCTGGTTTTTAATTTTTGCTTCAAGACTGATTATAATTTAATGTACTGTATGATGACTAACAGTGGATTTCAGATGCCAATGTGGTTTTTTTTAATTTTATGAAAGATCCCAAGTACATTTATGGGGGGAGGATTGGCCGTTTACTTCTAGCATTATAACTATGCAGAGTGCTTTGTCGTTATTACTTCATTTGCTTTCCCAGTTGTGGTGAGCTAGGATATTATTTTTGTTCTTTAGTGTCAGTGGGAGCCTTTGAACCCATTATTGATATCAATGGGAAAGTGTTGAACCTCTGTTTCCCCCCATGTCAAGGATCCTGTGTGAGTTGGAGTGGGTTGCCTGCATTTAAAAAAATGTTGTGACAAGGCTAAAGACATAAGTAACATCACACCTAATCTGTTCAAAAGCCGTTTTGTTGTGTGATATCTCCAGCTCCTAATGTAGACTCTCTGCAAGAATTCCTATCTTGAAAAGCATTTCAGTGCATTGCAAAGTTGACAAATTGGTAATTGAACTATGATGTGACTCATTAAAATTTTTGTTACAAATTAGTCTATTCAGTGTAATTTTAGCAGTATTCAGGCAACTCTGCCTCCTATGTTGTTGCTCTGTTCATGTGGAAAAGAACCATCTGAAAATTCACTGTTCCCAAAAGCATGGAGGGCATGATGTATACCAGGGGCTTTCCTTTTCAGACTGTCATTCTCCATATGAAAAGAGCAAACCCTTTTCTCAGCACCTGAATAGGGTTTTTGTTGTGCAAAGAAACCATTTTAACATACCTGTTAAAATTACCCCTGCTGCTTGTGGAGCTCAACCGAAGAATTATAATCCCCTGCTTTATCCAACATCTTTATTCAAAAGTAAGAGCTTGTTTCTGCCTGGGTCCCTATAAATTATTCGGAGAGGTTTTTCCTCATGCATCCCTAAGGGGCTACATAAAACAAAATACTAGAAAGGAACATAAACTGGGGGGGGGGATATTATTGTTTTACTTTTTGGCTTTTCAAGATAATTGAACATGTTGACAAATGCCAAATGGTAGTTTGTAAAATTGTGGGTGGTGAACCAAAAGTGGAACACTTTTCATTAAATAAAAGTTATGTATTAAATTTCCCACTTGAATTTATTTAAAATGAGTGACCTCTACACACTTTGACCAAAACCCTCGTGTGTAGATTTACACCGGTGAAAGCCCGATGATGTCTTCATACAGGGCTGGTAAAATTTAATTTAAATGAATTGAAAGCTTCCTATCCCCCCCCCTTTATTATTTTTTTAGTTCCAAGGCTCCCTAGAGCTCCCTTTTGCCTTGTGAAAACATTTGGGAGCCTTGCGATGGAGGAAGCCTTTAATAGTCAAAGGTTGCTGCAACTGTGGTTAGGACCACTGGCAGCAATACAGCAGCAATTTCTGGCTATTAAAGGCTCTCCGCCACATTGCAAGGCTCCCAAAAGCTTCAGAAGGCAAAACGGAACTCTAAAGAGCCCTTGAATCTGGAAGGAGGGCTAGGAAGTTTTTGATTCATTTAAATTAAATTTTGCAGGTGCAGGATGATGATGATGATAATGATGATGTCATCTGGCTTTTGTTGGCTTAAACATGCATGAATAGGATTTTTGCCATTGTGTTCCCAGTAGAATTATCCTAGTATTTGTTTATTTATTATTATTAGAAGTATGTTTACACCACTTATCACATGCACAAAATCTCAAAGTAATTTACAACACCATAAATCATCCCCCCCTTTTTAAAGAGGTGGAGAATAGAGATTTCTAATCCCATACAATAAACTGATTTCTCTTTCTCTTAAGGCTATAAAAATAGTCCATGTAACAGACGTCTTAGTTCTTTGTCTCAAGAGAAAGAGATAAACTATTCTGTGTGTTGGCCTTTTTTTCATTTTTTTAGCATTTTAAACCACTTCCAAAAACGACTAAACACATAAAACATCCCCCCTTTTTTAAAGAGGTGGAGAATAGAGATTTCTAATCCCATACAATAAACTGATTTCTCTTTCTCTTAAGGCTATAAAAATAGTCCATGTAACAGACGTCTTAGTTCTTTGTCTCAAGAGAAAGAGATAAACTATTCTGTGTGTTGGCCTTTTTTTCATTTTTTTAGCATTTTAAACCACTTCCAATAGTACCTTCTATTTTCAGTTTCATCTTTTTTAAAATATATTCAAAGCTATAAACTGTTATTAAGTGTTTGTGGTTATATGTGTATGTAAATGTGTTTTCATATACATTTCATGCGTACGTATTGTTATTCAGTGCCATTGTTTTCATGATCGTGTAAACTCACATGAATATAGGGATATGGTATGATGTACAAGTCATGCAGTGTACTTTGATAAAATAGGAAAATTTGTTCACTGACAAAGATAATAAAGGGCACAGCTTTGTGTTACCATAATTGTTTACTTTACATGAATGAGTGTGTCAATCCCAGTTTAAATACTGGCATATTGTCCACAGTAGCAGCGGTGAAGATGGAGAACACTGCAGGCAGATAATGTTTTCCAGATAAGAAGCAGGTTGGGCTCCAGACCAGTGGATGGGGTAACCTCAGCCCACCTGCCCTAATATGACCTCTGGCTTGCCATGAGTCCTGGGAACCCAAATGTTTAGGTGTGCTGCTAGACTGCCAATACCAATCTCTCTCATCCCCTATCTCTCTATTGAGACCATGAAGCCTCTTACGTCTGTTACAGCAACCTTCTCTGAAAGCCAATTAATGATTGACCCTAGTTCAGAAAGTGTGCAGATATAATGGGAAATATAACATAACACCATAAAGACCCCATTGAGTAGCGTATAGTGACTAAGGCCATTTAGGCTAGCAGAGGCCCCTCAGGTCACTAAAGGATGACAGTATAAAAATAGAGTTCTCTATTTTATAAGAGTCTTTTGTATATATACTGTATATTTTAAATTCTAGCCATTTTGGAATTTGTTATATATGGTTTTGAAGATGCTGTTTTGTTGACTTGTTATTGGTTTTGTGCATTGACTCAATGTTTCAGTGGCCTTTGGCTAACATAGCACCATCAGTTGCGCAGTTTTCTCATTTAACCACCAAAATCATAATCAGGGGTTATGTGGTCTGTTTTCTATGTTTATGGCAGGCACACCTGCCTAGTTCAGCACATGTGTACATTTTTATATTTGACAGCAACAAGCAGATATTTACAAATTTAATATTCTATTCTGTTACCTGAGCTTTTAGAAATATTTCCAAAAGTACCTTCAGCTGTTGTAAATACGTTATGATTTATGCCATCTTCAAGAGACAGTGGGGAGGCAGACTGTTCCACATAGCACTGCAAGATCAAATTGTGCTTGTGTTGTACATGCACATAAATTATCAGTGCATCAGAAGAACACCATTTAAAGCAGAGGGAATTGGGAAGCGGCACAGAGAACCATCACTAACAGCAATATCCGTGATCTTAATGAGCTCTTACAATTCCTGCTCATGGAACACTTATTAATTTGGATACAGACAGTAATGATCTCAAATTGTTTTTCATCTCTTTATAATGAGCACTTATTCTAATGCGTTATGAAAAAAGATATTTAGATCTCAACATCAATGTGGCTTTTATTTACTTTGCCCTTTTTTTGGTAAGGGCTGGATCAACATGGTATTCTACTCTCATTGATTTTTTTAATGAGCATATTGCTTCATGTTCCATT